GAGATATCGTCAGACGACTGGCTCGTCTTTCTGGCTATTCAGGTTCAGATACTGCGAGCACCTTCAAAACTAGATGATACCAAAAGCCCACTAAAGTAAGCATTCTAGTTCACTACACTTCTGCTCACCTCTCCAGCATTAAGACAGCCATCATCAGAAATATGTTACGTACAACTTCAAAAGTTTCATCGTAAAACGAAGACAAGTGCGATTCAGTAGATCGGGCGGTTCGCACAGCACAGGAAAATGTCATTGTCAAAAGTCACTATCACAGACAGAGCAAGGAGAGGGAGCACACACAACTGTCGCGATTCCATACCTATCAGACAAACTATACGTTCTTCTAAGGAATCCTACTCTCCAAAGAGTGAAGTGATGTGAAGAGGATTGTAGGCATCACACTTACAAACCTGAAAAAACAACTAGTTCGAAATCGTCTTCATGACCGTGCATCTGACGTCTTTGCCCAACTCTTTCCTGCATCATATATATCCATCTTGGAAGCAAGGGGACTGCGTGGCATCGGCGGCAGTGTGCCTAATTTCCTACTATCTGTGCAAAGAGGAGTGTGGACAGGCAGGCTTCTTTGTATCCGCGTAAAAGAACACTGAGATAGCATGGGAAAGTTAAAAATGGCTACTCCCCTGGGTCAGTATGCGAACACAGTTTTTGAGGTGACGACAGTCTTGTCACGCGAATCCGATATTGTGGCGCAGAGAACTATAGGCGTCTTCTCGATCATGTCTGAGACCATTAAGATCAACAGGAGGAAAAATGTGGCGGCCACTACGAATGTTCTGAGGGCATCACTCCCCAGATGTAAATTGTGTGGTGGTTCCACATATTCCCTTTCTTGCTACATAACATAACATCCTACGAAAAATCATTTATTACTCTAAGCACAGTGATTAAGTAACCTACTATCCTACACATCAATCTTGACTTGCCTTGACCTTGACATTGAAACTGGACTCATTTTCTACTTCTACCCAATCCTGAGCGGGTCCGCCTGTAGTGGTCGATGTAGGATCTCCCGAACGACGGGCTAGAAGCCTATGCCAGCCGAGGGTCGTGCGTTCAGGGTACTGACTAAAAGTAAACCACTAGTCACTGCCTCCGCAGTGACTACCGCTACCTCTCCTCCGGCAGCGCTGAGGCTAGGGATCACTCAGATCCCAGCAACGACAGAACACGACCGACCGTCCAACCGACCATCCGACGACAGCCACCCTGTCACCGCCCTCCCGGGCGTTTATATACCCGTAGTGGCGCGAGGCGTGGCATAGGGAAAACATCATGAACAGGGAGTTCATGACACTCCCGAGGCAAGCGAAAAAAAAATGGGAACGCATCCTCCCCGCTGTATTCTGGGTAGTGTTTTTTTTTCCTTGACGGTGATGACATGATGCAGTGACTTGACGAGAAATTATAATGCTCAGTTACAAAATGAAAGACATCAAAACAATACACACAAGTGCACACTAAACGAACGAAGCTGCCGATGGTCCTGTAGAATCAACGCTGCTAACGACGAAGACGGACTGTGCCAATCAGCCAAACGTTTCACCAAATAGTGCGATAATGTCGACACGAGGGCCAAAACGGTGGTGTCTGTTCTGTTTGTTTTTTGTTTTGATGTCTTATTTTTATTTTTATTTTTATTTTTATTTTTTTTGTTATTTTTTGTTTTAAACTTTGTTGTTAGACAAATGGTTTCGTTATTGCAACATTACATTTGATA